TACCATTTTAGTTGTAAAGTTGTTATTGGAAAAGCAACAAAACATGTGCTAGATTGCTCCGTAGCAACTTTGCGCCTAAATTGCTAGAAATCATGAGCTTCCCTATTGTGTTTCACATGGAGTTCGAACCAATTTGAAAAAAAAAATCCTCCCTTCATTCTTTAAGAAACTAACGTGTTTACTGAAATTATTATAAAATTTACTAGAATTAAAATATATAGTTACTTTAATTATGGTTTCATGTAAAATAAAATCTATTTTAAAATTTGTTTTTATTGCAGAAATATTTGTATTGCACTTCACTATGAAGCATTGACTCGCAACAACTTTTGGCATCATTTGCATGGTTTTTGCTCAGGAAGTTTTAATGTTTTACCACTGTACTCTAAGTTTTTCATTTGTATCACCTGGACACATCAGAGGACCATTGCCGAATGGCATAAAAGCTCCCATTTCCTGATAATTGCGCACTCCACACAACCCCTCGGCAAATCATTCAGGCCAAAAATCTTCAGGGTTTTCAAAATAATCTGGATCAGGAAATGTAGGTTTTAAATTTAATAAACAAGAATCAACGTTCTAGCTACAGTGCAGAGTTTGAAGAGTGAAGGCAGCGGAGATTTCTGAAATCAACGAAATAAGAAATTGCCTTAATTAAAAAAAAAACTTACGATTACTCGAAAGCGTTATATGTTTACCGTTTAGACACTGATCTAAGAAAGGCAACTGATTGGGTGCATCGAAGCTGTCAGCCGCATCGGCGGAGAGTAGCTCCTCCTTAAACTTCTGTTGAATGCATGGATTACGGCGAAGCTGAAAACGAACAAAAACCATTTAAAGTATAATCAAATTTCCATTTTTTTGCATAACTTCCATAATACCTATAATTTGTGAGAGCATCATTTCAAGACAACAACAACAAACAAACATATCATTTTCACTCACGAACAACAGACAGCGCGCAATCAGCATCGCTACCGTCTCATAACCATCAATCAAAACTGTTGCGATTCGTAGTACGTCGTTGGTGAATTTTTTTTTTTCTTGAGCTGTAACAAGTGGTCTATGACATCACCGCCGATACCATAACGCCCACCGCTCCGTCCAGTTTCTGGCTGGCTGCGCGCTGCTAACGAGTCGACAACTCTTTTTTTAATCAACACCTTGTGCCCTACTCTTTTGCTTCTTTGTTTATTTTCCTTTAGCCCTGCATTTTGCTCAGGGTCTTCATATGCTAGAGCGCTTTAAATCCGTCAATTTTCTCAGTGAGCTTAACACCGCGTTGAAACGTCTGTACTGTGCATTGATCCAGTTCCCTCTTCCACTCGAACAGTTGGGCCGTGTATACGTCGCATTACATTGACTTTGGTGAAGCAATTGGAGCGTGTATTCTTTCCACTATATCGGCTTTGTCGCCTTCTCGCGGTGTTTGCTGGCAATTAAGTAGCTATGAAGAACAAGGCGCCTAGGAATAACAGTGGAGGAAAAAATTGCCGAAGCCAACTTTGCCTTAATATTGGGTTTCGATACGAGTATTTGTTTTTCGATACCTACTCAGTACTTGGTTCAAAAGTATCGGTACCAATCGATGGTATCGATCGAAAAGTATCGAGTATGTACTTGTATTTATTCCTATTTATTCCGTTTCATCTCTAACCAGAATATATTAACGTTGCTTATGACGTCCTAAAGAAATCCGGGATTGAGCCACGAGCTAAATTGCTTAAAATAGTAGTCTTTCAACAAGAAAGTAAATTTTTATAAAATTTTTATAAATGGGCCTAGGTACTTATCATAAAACGCCAGTATCTCAGTAACTGATTTAACGAATTTCGACCCTGAATTATACTATAAATGCATATGTATAAGTATACTAGTTCAATACCTTGTTAATTGCCAATAACGTTTCCAAATACGGTCTGATAACAAACTTTATATACAAATTTAAACAACACCAAGATTTTATATTGGAGTACATATGTATGTATGTATGTATTTATTAAAATTGATTTTTATTTAGAGTTAAGTCTGAAATCGTCTTCGTAAAGAAAAGCTTGACACATTTTTTTAACCTGAGTATGTTTGTTGCTTCATCCATCAATATAATCTCAATTTCAATTCAATTCAGTCGCCTGAAATCAAGTTCCATGCTTCCGTCGATCTTTAAGAGAAACGACTCAGGAGCAATTCGGTTATCGTTGCGTACATTTGGACCAGGTGCCAGTTGAAAATTTCGCACCAACTCTGCAACGGCTACTTTGGCCTCAGCCAGCCCAAGTTTCATGCCTGTAATGAAGAATAAAAAATGCTGCAGATAAACTTCAGGAATAAATAACCGTACACGAATACTTTACCGGGACACATCCGCGGCCCGTCGCCGAATGGCATAAAAACGCCCATTTCGCGATACTTCCGCACTCCACCCAACTCGTCAGCAAAACGCTCGGGCCAAAACTCTTCCGGATTTTCAAAGTAGTCCGGATCATGATGGAAAGAATAGCTAGAAATGTATATTCCGGTGCCGGGATGTACAGTTAAACAGGATTTATCGGAGTTTTGCAATGTGATAGACTCCGTGCAGATTTTAAAGAGCGTCGCTAGAGGCGGAAATATACGTAGAGTTTCTGAAATGTGCGTAAAAATTCAAAAAAAAAAATGCGCGGTGTTTTAATATAAATAGTTGAACAATTAAAAAAAAATTTACTTCACCTTGTATACACTGATCCAAATAAGGCAGTTCATTGAGCGCATCGAAGCTGTCTGCAACATCGGCAGAGAGCAGCTCCTCTCTGAGCTTCTGCTGTACGCGTGGATTGCGTGCGAGCTGAAATATTTCAACAAATCGCAAAAATTAAACTTTTAGAATTTTGTATAGCATTTTCCAAACAACAACAACTTTAACAAAACTACATAATTTGCACTCACCAACAACAGACAGTGCGCAATCAGCATCGCTGCCGTCTCGAAGCCATCAATCAAAACAGTTGTAGTATGTCCAGCGATTTGTATGCCGTTTAAGGATTTTTTATCCCTGAGCTGCTGCAAGTGATCGATCAAAACACCCCGCACTCCACCAACAACAGTTGACTGCTTGGCGCGTACGTCCATAGCGTCCGCCAGCAGCTGTTGGAAGAAACGATCTGAGGCGAGGGGAAAAAAACGTACCGGACGTATTTTTCGCAGCCACGGCCAGGCAGCAGTTCGTCCATAATAGCGTACACATTCCAACGATTGCGAAAGCATAGCACTTGCCATGCAGTGTACAGGCGAAAGAGATGCTCTGGCAGCAGTGGGTTTCTCAGGCACATTGAACGCATTCCCCTCAATGCCCCATATGAAATTAGACATAAACTGGGCTGTGAATCGGTTGGCAAGCTAAGTATTTGATTAAAAAATAATAAATACATTTTAATTAAAAAGTTAGCGGTGTTTAGTAAATATTACGCACTTCTTTGGCATCTTGAGGTTGAGCTACGGACACTCCGAGGAACTCGACAGCTTTCTGGGCACTGCACCGCATTGCGGAATAGAATGAGCGAATCTAGGGAGAAATAAATCGCTTTTTCAAAAATATATTTGTAAAAAGTATTAATTTAATTCGTAATTAATTTAAATACCTTGTTAATAGTGAGCGCTGGGACCAACTCCGAACGTCGCGCCTTCCACTTTTCGCCAACTGAGACAAAAGGACTGGTGAAACGCAGTTGTTCCACTTTCTCGCTTGACTGAGACATTCAAAAAAAAACCGTACATATCAATATATATACTATAACATACATACGATGCATCTTTTCGTTCAGCTGTAGTTATTAGTCTTTCTGGATAGGAAATGGCAATGCATTCATATTTTCGCACTGGGAACATAATCAAAATACATATACATATATATCGTTACTTTAATTCGCAAAGGCGCTAACCAACACTTTTTTCGAAACTAAATTTTTCACAGATTTTCGTAGAATATATTAAAATATACGTTCACTAAAATTTTTTAAGTGTTTATAAGGAGTATATATAATCTTATGTAAATACAAAAGATGATAAAAGATTTATTTGTAGCTAATTTTCTGCACCATAAAATCTTATATATTTTTGTAAGACAATTTCGAAAAATAAAAATTTCTTTTTGCCGAACGTAGGGGTTGCCTTTTAACATATTTCGTTATATCTTTGGCATTCACTGTCGGGTCTTAAAAGTCGATTGTTCTGAAGTACCCAATTTTAGTACTTGCCCACCAGAACTCAGTTTCTATTACCATTACGTACCACCCTAATACCAGTAAATTAAAGCTCAGCAAAAATCGTTCAAGTTTTGCTAAGTAAGTATTTCGATTATTTCAGAAGAACTACGTTCACATGTAGGTGTTCATTCGGCCAAAACAACAATTTTTTTTTTTAATGTTCTTGTAAAAATACTTTGAATTCGAAGGCGTATAGCCACATTTTTTGTTTAGTTGTAAGGTGGAGCGGTCTAATGTACATATGTATGTACGTATTGCTCATGTACATTCATATGTATGTATGTACATATATATGTGCAACGAGCACTCTTATAAAGTTACTTACCCATTGCGAAGATTCATTATCATGAAAATTTTTAAAATGTTGAGTTAAGATCTCCAAACCCAGTTGGGGATCACAGATAAAGAGTTTAGGCGTACGTGCTGTGAATATGCCCACATATTTTTGCGTTGATTTGTAGCGCCTGAAACCAAAAAAATAAATTATTTATGATTATAATCTATAGCAACATAAATGATAAAAATCTAATTTTATTTTGCTCGAAAACTTTTAATTTTACATTCTCCATTGAACAGTTGCTGAGCTTTTTTGTGTTTCACCCAAAGTGTTTGATCAAATAAAAAGTCTATTATAAGCTACATATGATTTACAGATAAATTTCATGCAACTCCTCGACCAGGCTGCACTGCCCGGCACTGGATTTCGGAAGCGTGCCAATGAGTAAATTAGGTTTAGGTCCTTGCACACCGCGCTTCCGCCAATAGTTGAAATGCCAGCGCAAGTATAATATTACCAGAGCGGATATGAAAAATACGAGTGAACAAAATACATAGACCGCCGCAATTGGAACCATTCTCAAAGAAAAGTGCGAGCGTTTCCCACTAAAGCCAAGTTTCTACTGGCTGAAATTTTGCAGCATCGAAGTGCATCGCATCTAACTACATATGTACATACTTATGTACAGCCGAAACTAACTGATAAAATGGAAATACATAAAGATTACTTGTACTTATTTTATTATTTTTAGTTTTATTTTGTATATACCTAGAGCAAATATTGTGCTTATGTACATAAGTATGTATGCATGTAAATGAGTATAAAAAGAGACTTAATTGTAGCGGGTCCCTCTGTACTCGTACAGAAAGCGTATAGTGAGAATGACAACGATCGGGTCCCTATAACCCATAGCCTCCGTACAACTGATTGTTCAGATATTGGGTTTTTTGTTATAACTCCTCCATTATTGCAGTTAGGTGCATGAAATTTCGCACTATTTTCACTCATCATCAACAGGACGTTTGCAGTGAGTTTTACGTTAAAACTCCTTCATTCGGACGACTAGCAATTTCGTGAATATCATTTAAAGTCTATTGTTCCGATATGATTTTTTTATGTTACTCCTCTATGTATGCAGTGAATATACAAATTTTGGTTAGCTCCAAAGCAACTCATTTCAAAAACCGTAATCGGTTTATTTACAATTTTCTGATGTTAATGAAATGTACGAAGCCTTCGGCATAGCCGAAATCGGTGCTGCACTTACTTGGTGTTTTATTTTTATTTTGGGCACCTACTTTCGACTTTTCAAGGGTGGTTATAGGCTAAAAATATTTCCGATATATAAAGGGGGTCTGGCACCTCCCATACAAACTGAATTTTTCATATGTTGTTTATGGTGGAACTTGCTATGATGGTTATTGGAAAAGAGGGCATGTAGCCTTATGCATACTTTACCCACAAAAGATTAAAAAAAAATAACACCAATTTCATAAATTGCATTTATTTTAGAAAAAACCAAAAAGCCGGTGTTAAACCAGTATTATTAAATATTGAATTGAATTGAATTTTCGAATTTTTCTAAATTTTGCGCGAACTTTGAAACTTAGATTTATTTAATTTTGGTTAAAGGGATATTTGCAGCTCCCAAGAAATACAAAATATGTATGTATATAAAATGACGCACAAGAAATGGAAAAGAAATGTTCTTCTATGAAAATTTCGTCAACGGGTTCACAGCTCTCAAGAAAAAAATGCTTTTGCATATATTTATTTCTTCAAGAAAATTTACCGCACACAGCAAAGTACTTTTCCAAATAGCAGAAATAATGAAAAATATGTCTTTAGATATTTCTATCAGTGCTCACGATCTCTACATAGCTCCATTCTGATATAAAAATCTACCTAAGACTTAATTGTCATCGGTGATATTAATGCCGACCTTGCATACCGTTTAACATAAGAATTTACTATTATATTGCAAACATCAGTGATGACAGGTAAGGCCCAGTTGGGTTCTAACATCGTAAATTAGTTGTTGTGAAAATTGCAGACAGAGGGTATTGCATATATAAAAGCGCAAACAGTCAACGACGTAGCGTAAACGTAGGTTGACCCAGACACGATCTACCTTATGGGATTCGCGTGTTACTGAAAACTCACCACCGCATGGGGTGACAGTGCCATTGCTTCTCTCTCTCTCTCTATCAACAGTAAATTTGATGTGCTACTACGTACGTCAACGTACATTTACGCTACGTCATTGACTGTTTGCGCTTTAAGCCCTTGATATGTATGCATATGAAATGAAATCAAACCGAAAGTAAAAGCAAACATGGAGGATATTAAGCAAACTGAAAGAATTGATTTCAGAGTTTGAATTGAATTATTCTACTCGTGCTAACTGCGCAGAAATACCCTGACGGAAACAAGTGTTTTTTTTTTCAGTCATCTAATTGAAAGACTACTTTAAAACAAATGCAATGAGTAAATGTTTCGAAGTTTTATACTCTTTTTACTCAAAAATAAAAAACAATTTGTCTCGGAAGTATGAAAAAGCATCTGCGAAGTGCAGAACGAAAGCGTATTCAAACGAAACATACTGACTTTGAAGTTGTTTAAACCAAATTAATTTTAAAGTAGTTGAAAATGTATGCAGGAAAAGACAATTGACTGCTTCCTATTACATCGCCATGTTAAATAACTGAGTTCGTTGCAGGTAAAATAGTGAGAATTTCAATTAGTTATCATTGAAAATAAAGTAGTTTATAAATTACTTTCAAACTAATTCAATTTCCTGCAGGGTAAAGACTGAACTTGAAAATAGATCGGTTCACAAATATGTATGAATTTATGTCTGTGTGCATCACTTTTGTTACGCATTCAGAATTAGAATCAATTCAGCGATTCATTAAACAAAGGCACTTGATATTCATAAGATAACACCGCGTTTTCATTATTTAATAATAGAAGGTTGTCTCGCTCTCTTAGTCTGCATTGCCTGCTTTTTAAGTATACCCTGTAACAAATCGGACCCTCGGATAGTCTCTATTGTTACCAATACTAGTCCCTCATAGTTCCCCTGTCAATGGTCACAACTGTCATTTTTAACATTGGCGTGTCATTGGATAATATTCGTGAAACCATGGTTTATTTTTAATATTTGGGAATATATCGAGCCCTAACCGCCAAAATAACGTAAGCGACATTTTTTTCAAAATTTTCTTTTTGATGCAGAAATATTCCTAAAGCATCTAGGTGCATTTCTGCATCAAAGAAAAGTTTGAATTATTTATCCATTGAGTTAGGCAGTGGAAGTTGCTTTAAATATTTAACTCATATTTTATGCGAAATAACGAATTTCCGCAACTATATTGGGGCGTATTCATAGTTAAAATAAAGTTGATACTTAAAGTTAGATTGGATATTCATATACGTTAGACGCATTTCTGGTTACTTTTCTACTACTTTGAAAAAAGAAAAGGTGTTCAAATTAATATCTCTTTCTCTATACTCTTCCAATGCAACCTGTCAATATATATTCAACCTTTAATAATTGAATCGTCCCAATTTGGCATCTAAAATACTTTATTGGTATTCACAAATACTTGCATAGCTATGTATTATATATGGGGTGTGTGGGGTTTGGGTGGTCGTTGGTTGGTTCCCCCGGTCGGGGTATTCAAAGGGGCCTGAATTTTTCGTGAATAAGGTTCGAAGATAAAAATTAAAATATACTGTAAAGTTTATAAATTTGTTTATTGGATTTTCACATACCTACGTACATAGTTATTATAAATTCTAATGAATGTGAAAACGCACAGTCGTCATAATATAGTCAAAACAACCGCAAATCTAGCCTGGCCTGCACATACATATTTAGCATCGCACCCGTAATTTCTCTTGGCGGCCCTGTCCAAGAGAGTACACTGTGTGTACCTAATAGCAGCACCCATGAGTAGCGTGCATACAACACCTCAATTGCTAATAATGAATATTAAATTGGTTGATAAAAATACTACGTAGATGTGTACATAGATACAAATATATGAATGCACATTACGGCAGATAGATTTCGATGCATAGCACAGTCTCGTCATGGAGCCGCTCCTAGTCACATTCGCTTTGTTCGCCGCTTTCGGTGTTTTAATCTACAAATACTTGACATGGCATCACGACCTCTTCAAACAATTGGGCGTAGCCGGTCCGCAGCCAAAGCTATTGGCGGGCAATTTCCCTGGAAAAAAGCATTTTGTCTACGAAGTAGATGATATTTACAAGTGAGTTTTCTATCAAATATTTTATTATACCAAAATTAAAAAAAACATATGTACCTACTAAATACTATTCCTAAATACTACTTACATACATGTCGAGGGCTTATATTCAATACCCTCTAAATATTTGCAATTTTCACAAAAACTACTTTGTGATGTTTGAACCCATCTGGCTGTGCAATTTAATAGTAAAGTCTTCTGTCAAGCGTTATGTGTCCATATGTACAAGGTCAGCATTATCATCACCGATGATAAGTGAATTTTTATATCAGAATCTAATTTTTGTGAAAAGTGCAGATAGATTTGTATGTAAGCAGTATACACATAAGAAGCAAAAATGTTACGATTCAAAAATTTTAAATTGATTTGTGAAATAATCTACATACACATATTTAGTGGCATCTTCAGATTGTAAAAAAAATTGCAGTTATTAATTGACGCATTTAGCTGCTATGAAATAATACAAAAACCAACGCCGGTAGTTCCTTTCTCCATTCCAGTCTATGGTATATAGGTATCAGAGCTGTAAAACTGTGAAATCATATGAAATTAAAAATCATCAATTTTATGTTATTATGTTTTCATTGAATTTTTCCTTGTTGGGGAATGTGGCTTATAATTTTCCAATTCTACATTCACTCAAAGTAGATACGATTGCACACATTAACATATTCAAAGAAAGATTGAAAAAACTGAATGACGAAACATTAACTTTTAACACTGAATAAGCATTCAGATGAATGCAGCTTTTGCTATGTGTGCACACATTCATTCAGTACCAATCAATCGATATAAATATTCTAAATACACAAAACCCACTGAAAAATACGCAAGGTTGAATTTTATTGAACAGATTTCAAAATTTCAACTCGAAAAATAGTTTATTGAGCGTTATCATTAATTTGTTTCACTTAAATTTGTACAAATATTTATAATAAATGAAAATATTAATTAGAGAAATATTTTTCTGCCAAGAATGTCATTATGAAAAATGTTAATTATTAACGATTTTTACATCTCTGTTTCGAAAATTGTCAGCTTTCTAAATAAGTATTACCAATGTACCAATAAAAGGTATGTGCAGAAATTATTACATATGTACATACCTATAAATCTACGTTAAAATAAGTAAACAAATTTAAGCGCTTCTAATTCTAACTTTAGATATATACATTTTATTACTTATTTAAAAAATTCTTAATACAAGTTTCTTCGTACTTTTTTCTTCGCTATTGGGTCAAGCATTTAATAAAGATTCTAAAACCTGATTTGTGGGTTTGTGGTGGTTCCTACCATTTACAATAAGTTGCAAATTATCAACTTTTCTCAAAAAAAGATT